CTATTGCTCAAGCTATGTATCATCAAACAAAACAAAACAGTACATAGTTTCCGTTACCTCTTCTAATGGAAAAAAAACTCTCAAACTTCAGGAGTGTCATAATTTTGTGGAGACAAGCTTTGACAGTCATCTGTGACATGGAACAATTTCATCTTCTTGTGAAGGGGAGGAGATTTACAAGATTTGGATTCAACGATTTCCTGCTCCAAAATCCGAGCTGAATCACCCAAAAGTTCCTCCTTAACCAAATAGCGGACTTGTTTCTTAATTTCACTTGTTCTTATTGGAGGCTTAGCATAAAAACTCTAACTCTTCGCTTTTACTAAAAGATATATTCTTTTCAATGAGATACCTATTATGTATATATTGTCTAAAGTGTTTAACTAAGAGTATTGTTTAATACTTTACATTTATATATGAAAAATTTAGCTAACAATAATAATAGATAAAAAACATCGGTATATATATTTTCTCTCATTCCAAACGCAATAAGTTGTAGCGAGGAAGATAAGTTTTATGAAAAGTGGATGTTATACCATGATCTTGCAAATTTTAAGTAATCTTTTTGAATTCTTTCTTCTTGCCTTTGATGACCATGTAATTAGTCTTGATAAGGTTGAACTCCAAAAATGTATTATAATTGTGTGAACATTCGAGGAGTGATTCGGGAGTGAATATGTTGTAGTGTGTTGTAGTGTCTTTTTTTCCCATTTTCCCCCCCTGTATTCCACTTTTCAAACTCACCTCCATAACAATTTTGTCTTAGACTTGACAGTTCCTTGGCTGTGTCGCCATATTTGTAACCATATAGATTGACTAGTAGCATTCAAGCTTGGTCCTTGAAGTTTAGAAAATCCTGGGATAATTTTGTCTTAAATTTCCTTAGGCAAATTACTTTCTAATCTGATAATGTTTTCGCAGTTACTCACAGGGATTTTCTTGTTATTAGAGATAGGATAATTAGCATTGATCACGAATTCTGGTATCGAAGTTTATGGAATGATAATAGACAGGCCAATGGTAACAAACATGCAACATTTAGATTATTCAAAAATACTCTGCTAGTTTCACCTTATGTTCGTTCAGTCTCCGACCGCTCTCAGCGAAGTGTCCTCGCAAAATTGAGATGTGGCTCTCTCCCCCTAGAGGTAGAAGTTGGTCGATTTTCCCGCCCCCAAACTCCATTAAATCAACGTATATGTAAATACTCCAATTACTAAAAGACTATTTATTGTAATTTAGTGTCTCATAGGCCATTTCTGGCCGGACAACGTACTGTGAATATGTGTAATTTTTAATCTATTGAGAATGTACGTTGTGTGACACCTAAATAAAAGAATTCTTCTTCTTTTTCTTCTTCTGTAACAGGGAGTCAGAAAATACAATTCAATTACAAAAACAACTGGAACCCTTACCTTACAACATTCACTCACTAATATTGAAAATACATTACATCCAACAGCTGTTTTCTTAAATTGCTCGGCTGTTAACAGTTGTGTGCGTTTTACAATCATGTATGAAATAACCTCTGGGTGTGACATCACATACAATTTCTGTTCTCAAACCAAACTGATAGAGCTTCACAACAAAGTTGACAATGCAAGTGTTGCGCAGAGTAAACTGGCTTTGGTCATGTTGTGTTTATGAGAAATGAAGTTGTGAGTTTTTCAATATGTAAAACACAATGAAAGGTTTGTTTCAGGCCTTCCTGGTAATATTTAAGAAAAAGTGTGTTTGTTTACAAACAATAAAATGTCCAGGTACATGATAAGTTCATTTAAGGCCATTATGGTGGATGAATGATAAGAGACCATGACACTGTGAACAGCGGGATAGTTACCAAAGGGGCATATCATTTAACCACAATTTGTGATGGTTTAAAACATATTTTGCTTGGTAGTCTGAAATCCCTATAACTTATAGTATAAAACATGACATTAAAGTAGCACAGGGGCAGTGGGGTAGCCTTGTGGTTAAAGCGTCCGCTCATCATGCTGAAGACCCGGGTTTGATTCCCCATATGGGTACAATGTGTGAAGCCCATTTCTAGTGTCCCCCACCCTGATATTGCTAAAAGTGGTGTAAAACAATACTCACTCACTCAGTCTTAGCAACACATATGTTATGTGTCTACTGTATGCCATCAACCACCTTCTTGTTGCAGAGCAGCTGATCCAAACATCTAGCATTGATTCTTGGCCCTGCCATGAAACTTTGCAGCCAGATGTTATGTTGACCCAGTTTCAAGCATGAGAAGCATTCATGCAGACCAGGCATAAGTTCAGTCCTCAGTAGAAAATGTTGTGCACTTTTAATATGATGCAGCAGTGATTCTGCCCCTGTCACATCCAAACACAGATCATCAACAGCTTGTGCACATCACTGAATGTCTCTGTCTATTCTTCATAAGATTGGTCAGGTGAAATGGGGTTTAACGTTGTACTTAAGAATATTTTGCTCATAAGACTACGTGCATGCATGTGTATGTGTGGCTGCTTGTACTAGCCCAGACTTAAGCTGGTTTTACAGTGCTTGATAACTGAGATACCATGCCGCAGTAAAGCATGAATACCCCACTTAGACGCATAATACTGACTTCGAGCCAACCAGTCCTCGTTGTACCCATTAATGGCGAGCGGCAGGCAGGGACCAACAAGTACCATATTTTAACGTCTTTTGGAATTCTCGACCTTCCGCTCTCTCAGCGGACACTCTAACAACAACTGAGGTCATGTAGGGGTTACCCTGTTGTTGTGTAGTGGGATATTTCAATCTTCTGTCCTTGATGTCTTTTTTTATATCTTCAGCAAGTTGTATATTATCACAGTCATGGCAACAGGTTTTGTATTTTTATAAGCTGATCGGGAATAAACATTGAGCACGATGAAATAGTCAGGATAGGTTCTGTATATGGTTGTCTTGCTCGGATACATGCCGATGTAGTAGATTCCTGATGGTCTGTGCTGATACTTTGCTCTGTAGAACTGTCTGCTTGTGAAGGTTACAATCACAAATTGTCATATTGGTGTGATTTCACTTGCAAAGCCTCATGCTTTGAGTGATCTGCAACAGTGCCTATCTGTTGCACACAGGTCCTCAGACTGTGTATTGAATAATGACTACAGCCCATGGCTTGTGCAACTACTGCAATGGATTGTCCAGACTTAAGAATACTTATGGAATGCTTATGTTGCTGATTTTTTAGTTGCTGCAGATATGCTTTTTACTTTTGAAGTATTTTCCTGTTTCGCAGTGACTGTGTGCTTGCATTTCAATTCATGTGCAATTGCCATGGTGATCGCGGTGGCGAGCTGGCTTAGGCGCCAGGCTAGTGATCCAGCGAGGTTGAGGTGTCGGGATCGAGTCCACCTGTGACCGGGTGTAAAAACCTTGGAGTCAACTCTGTGTGCAGACTCTTTCAGTGTTGTCACAACCCCAAGTGTACAGTACACTTAAAAGAACCCACGAACCCGTTGGTATATGACCAGATGGTGGCCACATGAATACGTGCAAACACCTAGTTGTGGGTACAGCAACGTGCAGTGAACTTGGACAAAGTACTGTGACTATGTGTCCCAGTCCACCCAGCTGTGAATGGGTACCTCCTTAGGATGAGAAAGCCACAATAACTCGGTGCGCCTAGTGGCTGCAAGAGTTGTGTACTCCCCAGGGAGTTGAGATTGATAATACGATGTGACATTGCGATTGACATCCAATGATCGAGGGAACAACTACCAGTGCCTTGAGCATGCACTAGTTGCCTGGATATGTGCGCTATATAAATATCCAATAATAATGATCACATGAGTCATTGCACGTAATTGTTGTGTTTCATGTTGGTTGACAAGACTATGTTCAAACAGCCTACATGACTTTACTGTGTAAACAACAAGAAACGCTAACTAGAATTACCCTCTCTCACAAATGTTCTTGATAATGGGGATGTCAAGTCCCTGATTTTGTTAGTATATTTGTACCTTTATGTACAATCAAATTTCAGTAAAAATGCTTTAATGCTGAGCAAGCAATCATATATTTGACAGCTAATTATTATATTTGGTTTAGACCTTGACAGCCAATAAGTCATATATTGCACAACTTTGTATCAGCATATCAATTGTATAAGATTGTATAAAAGAAAAATAGAATTAAAGTGAGTAGAATTATTAGTCACAGTGTTTAGAGTTTATTTTATAGACCAGTGTGTAACGGTTAGTGTCAAAGGATACACATGTTAAAGTTCCAAATAGTTCAAAACCCTATGATAACATTCACTTAAAAATTAATCCCTAATATGGTTGGTCCATACTTTGTTGTGATTGGTCAATTTACCCAAACCAATGGTATAAAACAGGTCAGGAAGAAGACACTAAAAGTGTACTTGATCACATTATGAAGTGCAGTAGGAAATCGGGTAAATATTTTGATGGGTATTTTTGTATCATGTAGGTACTGTGGGCTGGGCGAGAAATTAGCCATAGGAATAAAGTAGGATATATACACTTTAGGTATAGTGTAGGGAAGGTTTCTTGAGTGGAGAGCTATTTTGTTCAGTTTTTGTTATTTTGTTATGTTCCTTGTTTTCATTTAACAGAATAAATTATTATTATTTACATTTCTGCCTTGTGTCATATCCAGTTGAAAGGATTGACAAATGGCATTGAACTGAAGGAGAATTGTGCACTGTTCCTCTGGTTTGGGAGTTTTTCCACCTTACATTAAAATTACACAATAAGTCCACAATAAAACCATGAACAGATAAACATCAGGATACAATTTGCGTTGAAACTCCTGTCACTGGGCTGCCTATTAGAGGGCGCCTATTACAGTAGTTTGCATCTTTGATCTTTTGGCAAAGCATATCAGAACTGTCAATAATATCACAGTGTATCTGTTTTGGAATATAAATGCATGCATGGAATCGCATAATTGAGTTTTTGTCATATTTTTAAAAAATTGAAGGAATATTTCTTTAATTCCATTTCCTCTATTTTATTCAGTTGGAGAGTGAACATGAGGAGCTTGAGCAGCAACTTGACCATGAACGAGAGACACGTTTTCTGCAGGAGAAGATCAATGAGGAACAGTCTAAGTTCCAGGAACAATTACAGCAGGAAAAGGTCAAGGCTGTTTCACAACTTGTGAGTGTCTGTAGGATGATGCATATTATTGAAGCAGACTTAAAAGTAAAAGTGACAAAACCATTTCCTTAACCACCTGGGCCTGGTTGTTCAAAACGCCGTGTTATTTTAACGCTCGAGGTCCTGGATGCCAGAGATGAAGTCGAATGAAATTTAAAATGTATAACTCACACAAATACAATTTACACAATTTTGAATTCAGTGAGAAATTTCCGTTTCTTGATACCGTCCACTATCATCTTAGACAAAGTAAGACTGCTGAGATTGACATGTCAAAATTAGGTACATCGTAAATGTTGCCATTTTTTAGACGTTTCGAAATCACGATTCACAGTGTTATTTGGTGTATGTTTTGAAATGTAAAAATCGGCTATTACTCGGAGGAATTAATTTCATAAATAACATGAGTAATCACTGATATCCGGTTTTTTTATCAAATCAACAATGGTAATTCTGACATTGTCGGGATGTTTTGGAAAATACACAAATACACTGCAGTGAGCTGTCCAGCACATTGGATAGTGTTTACACTATCACCTTTCACCAAGTCTGGTTATGAGATGCCTAATATGTTACATACATTTAGCACTCAGTTGCGACAAACACACCACTGAATTCCTCATATACTTTTGAATAAAATGACAAATGGTCTTTGTGACCTAAACCAAGTGTCTAGATGAAATCAAACTAAAACATTTGGGTGTAAAAACGAACGCTGTGCGTGTACAACTGCAGCAGTTGGAAATGTAAACAAAGTAAAAATCAGTGTTTACACTGTGTAGCATTTTGAATGTTCTGACATCCATTCATCTGTTCATTGCCTGTATTCGCTATATAGATGTAGAATATGCATGGAAAGAGTACCAAATTGTCAAAGTTTCCATGCAGCATGACACCATGACAGAGGCAAAATCACGCAGAACGACAACAGTGAGATTAACATTTATAATTTCTATTTTTCTTACAACAAAAACAATAAAAATAAAGAACCATAAGCAGATAGTCAGAATCTTTCAGATTACTTACATAACATATTAATGGACAAACATCCCCTAAATCAAGGAAAGGTCCCTCCCAAAATGCTGTGTACCGATGTCAGCGAACACGCTATTTTGTAAGAAATCGGTCATAGGTAGTGATGTCATACATTAACATTGTTGTACATATTTGGCAATTTCTTTGAGGTTAAGGGCAGATGAGTAATAGTAAACATGATCACCCTATCTTGCTGCTTCCTCTTTCGGTATTTTAATGTATATTTTGCATAATGTTCAGATGTTTCTTCACAAAAATAATTTCATATATTTCCTTATCCTGACTCATGCTATATGCTTATCTCCCTTTTCCTTCGAATGGTATGTGAAAACTTAAATCCCTTTGCTCCCTGAAGCAAACGTAAAGTCACACACCCAGTTCGGTTACCACCCTTCAACTTCCCACCAATGCTTCCCACGTGACCAATACAGAGGCATGCTCTTGTCACTCTCTCCTTCATCGCCCTTTCTGACGGTTTGGCGATTTCTTGAGTCCCTTTTACGACTTATATCCTTTATATGTTCGGCCAGATTTTCAAATTAAGGCCGTGAATTGTATTTTAGATCATTTTATTATCATAACGATGTATTTATTTACATAAATTATGGCTAAATTCTGAGATTTTCTCACTCCATTTCAGGTGACTGTTTTTTACATGGTGGCATGTAAATAATGCAGGTTACGCTTTCAGCGGCTGATCTACACCCTGTGTATCCTACTTGTGTTAATACATCATGTTTTCTTGCCTCACATTGTAAATATTATGCACATTTATCAGAATTTGCATGTAATAAATTTTTGCATTTAGTAAATTTTTGTTATCCCATTTACACAGGACTATGGGTAACCGCCTGGGAACTTCCGGTGCTGTAGATTGCCGCTGACGAGAGTGTTCCGCAGTCACCTGGTCGTGAGCTGTCTACTCTACCATCACCATGTCAGCATTCCTTTGTCAGATTATGGACATACCCACTAGCGTTCACAAAGGCTACCTCATCACCGATGATATCCAGTCAGGTTCGCAAACCCGGTCATCAGCTCTCTACACAAGCCTTCAATCCAGATGATTTCGAGCAAGGGTATCCAGACAATGGAGTGACAATTAACTACTGAGCGTCAACTGCCAGAGCCACACCTGTCTACAGGGTTCGCGAACCCTTCACCTGAGGTAGCCCCGATAGTAGAAGATGAGGTTGATGAGGATTCAGACGCCTTTATCTACAACGACGCGGAGGTACTATCCTGGATTGCCAATGGTTTGTCTATATCTTCACCTGCCCAGGACTCCAACCCAATGGATACATACTGCATACAAGATGATGATTTCGACTCTATCACCATCCCGCCGATCAAACCGATATCCCAGGTTCCAGAGAATGTGAAATCCACGTTTGCGAAAGCTACTAAGAATCAAGGGCAGCATACACCAATGTTTATTGCTCGGAAATTCCCTCTCCATAACATGGAACGTTTCCCTATGGCGCCAGAGGTTGATGAAGATTTCTCTCTGCTCAGTGACTCCAAGTCACGCAGCTATCGTTTGTCAGCGCTTATAGCTCAACAAAAAGATCAACAACATGTGCAATCCTTACAGCCTATAACCTGCATGAACCTTACACCGGTACTAGGTTCAATTTCGGACGACAACCTACATGATGAGGGAATCCTTCATCTACACGGATGCAGAGGTCTTATCCTGGGTAGCAGAGTTACCTCCCCTGATCATGACATCACTGTATTGATGTTTTAGAACCCATCATAATTTTTCTGTATGGTCCACACTCAAGACTTGTAGAAGAAACAGTGAAATTTTTCCTTTAATCATGTCTTCCCTTCTTACTTACGAGATGCGCATGATCATAGATATAAAACTGTTTAACGAGAAACAGATTCACACAGATAACTCGACAGTAGCCTTCTACATAAATCTACAAGGTTCAGCAAGGTCGGCCCCCCTACCAGAACTGACGTTCCAGCTATTCAGCTTAGCAGACAACCTCAGCCTGTGGCTAAAGGCGTGCCACATACCGTGAGCAAACAACATGTTAGCAACATCACCAAGTGACAACGTATGTCTCACCAGTACCGGATCCTCAAGCCTGGGTTCTCGACGCACTGTCAATCCCATGGGAAGGACTAAACACATATGCAACTTTACGTGTGGACCGTATTAAGCACTGCTTTGAAAAAAAGAGGTTATTCCACGAGAGCAGCTAAGGCAGTCACGATGGCCGTAAGACATTCAACTAGGAACCTCTACGACGATAAATGGAAAAGTTTTGACCAGTTTGCTACGCAGAAAGGATTCTCAGCTGTTAAGGCCTCGCATCCTCAAGTAGCGGATTACTTATGTCATCTGAGGGTTACTAGACACCTCAAGGGATTTGCTCTCTTTACATACTTGGTGGCAATCAGCTCAGTGATTACCATGGACTTGGGAGTTAAACTCACCAAAGTGCCAGAACTCATCGCCTTATTGAGATCGTTCAAGTTGGAAGGTCAACAACGGAGATTCAGAGCACCAGCCTGGGATCTCAACGTAGTGCTGCAACACTTGACCAGTGATGAGTATGAACCACTGAGACATACAACTTTTGAGCGACTAACACAAAAGACATTATTTCTCTGCGCACTGGCTACAGCGGCAAGAATGTCAGAAATACACGCCCTAGATTTCGGACGAACTAGGTTTGACAACGGACAACATGCTGCAGTCCACTTAGGACTTAGATGGGATTTTATAGCGAAAAATCAACTACCAGGCCAGTCAGATAGACAATTTCATGTCCCAGCATTATCTACGATATTGGGACCAGACAATACACAAGACCTCTCAAAGCGCTGAAAATATACCTGGAGAAAACTACTACTTGGCGATCAAGCACAGTATTTGCGAATCATTATCTGAGTGATATCGTTACAGAAGATGTATCCGGGATACACCAGTTCAGACCTCTAGTAGTTGTGCAACAACTCACGATTCCTGCCAGACGATAGACGACGATTAGGCAGAGAAGTCTATGCGACACTGTCTTATGCGATAAGTCAGTACATAAGTGATATAGACTCAGTTATGGTAACCTTCTTACCTTAAAGATGGGTCGCGATTCAGTTATGGTAACATTCTTACCTTAACAGACGGGTCGCGATTCAGTTATGGTAACATTCTTTCCTTAACATGCAAGTCGTTGCAGATAACTAGACAATATGGATATTAGTTATATAATCCACGAATTCTAATAAACTACTGAGGTATATTTATTCAGAAATAGGTGGTCACCTGATTTCTTCAAAATTCAACACGATGAAAGACGTTAGAAGAGTTCCCAGGGAGTATAACAGCAAACGCTTTATTGGGATTCCGGGAATGTGGCTGACCGACCACCTGTTTTCGTCAGATTCCTTAAGCATATAGCATGAGTCAGGATAAGAAAAAATCTGTAATTTTTATGATAAAATTGATATTTTATACTTATCCTGACTCATGATTTGAAGGGCCCTCCCAACTGTCCCCTCTCAGCACTTCGGACCTCCCTGTAGGTTCAAGTGCGGGCTGGAATTCAGGAGAGAGTGACAATAGCATGCCTCTGTATTGGTCACGTGGGACACAGTGGCGGGAAGTGGAAGGGAGGTAAACCAACTGGGTGAGTGATTTTATGTTTGCATAAGGGATTCAAGTTTCCATGTACCGTTTGAAGGAAAAGGGAGATAAGCATACAGCATGAGTCAGGATAAGTATAAAATATCAATTTTATCACAAAAATTACAGGTCTACTCCCATTTGTGAGAACTCCCAATTGTGAGACTCCCAGTTATGAGACGGTGTCAGCCCGATCTGTCGACAAATAAAAAATAGGATGTTCCTAACCGACGACAAAACAAAAAACCCGGAGTGTCGACATCGCGTGGTCAACATACCGTGACGGTGTTAATTAATGAAAGAGAATGTTTGCTTAGTGGTTTGCAAGTGGCTATGGCGGCTACAGCTATGCTCGTATCATGAGTAAATAAATTAAGTTGATTAAAGAGAATGTCTTTTTAACAATTTGCAAGAGAATTAAGGTTGCAAAAACAGACTTTTATTTTACATTATGCGAGTGGAAGGATTACCATTTTGGAGTTTAACATGCAACAACATCCGGAAAGAAACAGAGAGCTTACAAATTATTTTGTGATATTGGGAGTAGGATTATCGAAATGCTATACAAATATGTTATATTGTGTGACATATGATACATGCATGATACATGCATGTTGTTATATTGACTGAATAATGATATTGTCTACTATATATATCACACTCTGTTTTAATCGGTTTGTTAATTTCGAGAACACTGGGAGTGAAGTCACTCATGTAGAACATCACCTACCTTTTCCCGGACTGTCGACAAGTAATTTGGACAGATTATTTCTTGTTGTCGACAGTCTGGGCATAAACCTATGAGACAGTGGAGTAGGTAATTAACAAAGATAACACACCATACTCCCCTGTCTGATAGAGTGGATTAACCCTAGCTAATTACTGATTTGCTATGTAACTGAATCTTTTGGAAGTCTTAATGAAACTTACTAAGATAAATTAATTAACATACTCAGGTAAATGTCTTTAAAAATTGAACACTTTGTGTAGGTAACTTCGTGATCATTTGAAAGAGAAATTCATTTACCTACTCTCCGAAACTACAAGATATAGTTTAAGAAGTAACTCTGAAATACAAGGGATTTACAGTCGAACTGCCTCTTATGCCAAACCTTTTTACCCGACACTACCCGTTATAACCTGGATACCATTTTGAACGGAAACAAAGAATTTACTCCTTGTGTAAACCAGAAAATAGTTGAATCCGTCCACGATTATATCATCAAGACACAACGCTTCAAATTTTCTCAGGAAAATACTTAAATTTACTCAACAACCTTCTCATGATTGATTTATATTCCTACAATAGCTTGTTAGACACACACAACTGAAACTCTCTAATTATGACTACTTAGAGAATAGTTGTATTTGATGTAATCTGTATATATTTATATGTACTTAAACATATATTATGCAATAGTCAATATCGATGACGTCACATCCTCCATTTCATTTTGTATTTTATGTTGCATGGGAGCGGTGTTAACATAAGCAGTAATGTTTCACCAATCCCAATTCATTTTCATAAATAATAATAAAATATGTTTAAACCAAAATGACTTTCAAACTTCATAACAGTCACTAAAAATGTGTTATCATAATTACATATTCTTCTGAATAAATAAAATATTTAATGAACTATTTCTTCTGTGTAAATATAATCTTTGATAATCTATTTCATTAATCAACTCATCAATGAACTATGCCTCCTGTGGGTACTCTTCAACAACTGGGCTGATCCCACTTTCATTGTAGGGATGTGGAAACACCACCTATGTGCACTGAACCATTAATTAATGTGTCTCACAACTGGGAGTTCTCGCAAATGGGAGGACACCAAATTACATTATCTACATATAGATTTGTTCAAAATCGTTTCATACATAGATATTGGCTATACATTTTTTTTATCCTATTTAATTTTTTGTTTGTTTACAACAATTCTGGCCTGAGAATAACTTCATGAGTAGGCCCTCATGAATACAATTGTCAGTATTTGCTTTCATTAGCAATAGCTTATGTCTGATTCTTTTGATAACTGTGTTCCAGGTGGAGAACAAATTTTCTGAAGAAGGTTTGGAAGAAAAGATAGATGTCAGTGAAACTCTTAAATCTGAGCTGTATTATTTGCAAGTAAGTGTGTTATTTATAAGTGTGTCATATTTTATTTAAGAATTTACTGTATTTTTATCAGTTCATTGAGGTATGAATCCAAATGCCAATATGGCAATTGTATGAATCCATGAAGAGGATTCTCACTGATTACACGTTGAGTTTTCAATTCATACCTCTATATGCAGAAAAAAGACACAGTCAATCCTTATTATTATATTCGACAACACAAACATATGGTATCAACAATGGATTAACCCAAAACAATGATATAAATGAAAGCAGACAAAAATGATAGTATTGATTAACATTCCTTGAGAAGGCATATACACACTCTGGCGTGATGTAAAAACAGATGATATATTATATATGCACATAACCTGACAGACCCACAAAATCAGTAGGAAATCAATGGAGAGTACCATCATAAGGTGTATCAATCAAGGCAAGACGAGAAAAAACAACAGTCAGGCCGTAACAAACTAAAACAAATATGTCAGGAGAAGGCAGCTGTTTCAAATGATGTGGTCAATAACCGCCAGATTCAAACATTGGTTACCTGAGAACAGGTAGACATAGTTGGAAAAATGTGAATTAGAAATGAAAGCCAAAGACATGAAGTTTCTGCAGCCCAGGTGAGAGACAAAAAAAGGGTGAGCCCCTGAACATTTTGAAGACATGTTTTTTCATTCCTTCTCTGCTTTTGTCACTGAAGAGTGTTTTGCATGATCCTAAATATGCAAAGGGAAAGGTTATTCAGGGAGCAGGAAAGCAGAAAGGGAATTCCCTTTACTGTAATTGGGATTCCTTGGCAGTCCAAAGTGGTGAAAGTAGTGTTTGTTTGTGGTAGTGGCTCAATATTTCATGTTCATAGGGAAATGAATGCAATAACATGTAACCAGTTCAGAATGCATAAATTACAATGAACAAAACAAAAATTACGTATTTTGCAGTATTTTGTATATCGAAAAAGATTTTTCATCTAGATTTGGAAGAGGTCTACACAGAATATGAGCAAAATATATAATGTATATGTCTTGCATCCTCCTTTGTCATTCCAGTCGCTAGTAGAGGGGCACTGAGACAGAGCGATTAATGTTTATAACCCTGGTAGTTCCTGTCTGGAACAACTTCTAAGTGTACTAAATCGCAACGCCGTTCGATGAGAGCAGTTCGTCGATCTAATCACCGTCCCCGGACGAAGATTTTTTAGAGGTGGCCCCAGACTCCTACTTGAGCGAGGATCTCCGTCGTCTCTTTCGTCCTCAAACGTCTAGTCCCGTCTCCTATACTCCTAGTTTGCCTCAGATGGTTGTTTCCAGTGCGCCGCTTTGGTTGAGTGCTCCACCCCCTCTGCTATGGTGGGTGCACTTGGTGAAAGCTTTCACTCTCATGCGGCGAGTGCAGTCAGTTCAGCGCGCTTTCAACACCATTCCTGTACCTTGTACTATAGTTTGGCATGAAATGCATGTGGACCCGTTTTTTTGTAAATATCTATTCATCCAATGACCCAATCAATCTCAAACTGTGCAAGTGGATGTTTTGTCAGACAACCTAATCACATTGTAAATCACCGATTTTATGCATTTGTATTAAAGAATCTGTCTATGTAACTGTCAACAAAATAAACAGCAGAACGCAGACTGCTTGCAGAGGGAGGGAGCCAATGACCTGTAACAGCGGCAGTGTTGGGGCATAAAGGTAAATGCACGTGCAGTTTATGATAGTTACCGGTGCACTGCACAGTGATAGACCGTTTGGATCATTCACATTGACTACTGCTAGCTGTCATCATGAAAGCTTATTCAGTTGATGCTAAACGTTTAATTAGAAATGTGTTGAATTTTTTTTAAAAAGAGCGCAAACGTAGCAAACCGATTTATAAGGTGTCGGATTACATGAAACGTTCAACTTTTGCTCTTGGCATGAAAAAGAACATCGTGCTAAAAATTGTGAAAAATAAAACAACAACCAATAAACAAAACCCTGTACAAAAAGGTAGGCATCCAAAGTTAGATTCTTTTGACATCAGGGTCATCAGAGATGTCATCCGACGGCTATTTGCTAGAAATGAACACCTGTCCACAAGAAAGTTAAAACACATCCTTGCAGAGGATCACGACATTAATGTTTCTAGGTTTATGCTAAGCAAATTACTGCTCCAATTTGAATACAAGTACAAGAAGGTAGCAAACCAGAAACTTTTAATGTGTGAGATATCTGATATTGTGAAAATAAGGTGTAACTATCTGAGAGAAATTAAGCAGGCAAGAGAGGATGGGTTCGAACCCATATATCTGGATGAGACCTGGGTCAATGCAAACCATACTGCTGCCAGACAGTGGCTACCCACTGATCCCAGTGATGGTAGGAAAATACCAACAGGCAAAGGTGAACGTTTAATCGTTCTTCATGCTGGTTCCTACCATGGATTCCTACCTCGGTGTGATCTGGTATTTCGGTCAAAGAGCACAGATGGTAGGGACTATCATACAGAAATAAACTCAACGGTTTTCACACAGTAGGTTGAGGAAGAATTGTTGCCAGCTCTGCCTTACAAAAGTCTTGTTGTCATGGACAATGCTCCCTATCACAGTGTTAGAGATCCAAACAATAGGTGCCCAACTTCCAATACAAAGAAGTCAGATATGCAGCAATGGCTAACAAATAACAATATTCAATTTTCAATTAAGGCCACTAAACCACAGTTGTACTCTTTGATTAAACCTAACAAACCCCCACCCACATATAACATTGACAACATGCTACGCCAACACGGCCATAGGGTCTTGAGATTACCACCGTACCACTGTGATCTCAACCCAATCAAAACTTATCTGGGGAGACCTTAAAAGTACAGTGGCCCGGAAAAATCAATCATTCAAGCTGAATGATGTCAAGCACATTGTCAACACTGCTATATGTGACATTGACATTGCACGCTGGCATGCATATGTTGAACATGTCAAGAAGGTGGAGAAAGAGTACTGGCTCAAAGATGGCTTGAAGGAGCAAACAGTTAATCCAGTTGTCATTCGTCTGGACACTGATGACTCCTCTGTGGAAGAATGGAGTGAACTTGATGAAGTTTAATTCTGTTATTATATTTACAGATAATAATAGTATCCAGCCAGATATGCTCAAAGAAATATAACTTCTTTTAACAATGACAGCACTGACTAATTCCAACGACTTATAGTGTAACATGAAACACTCATTTCACATAAAATTATCATGAAAATATCAATATTAACTATCTATATGCTTAAAGCTGTTAGAAATGCATTGCTTAATTTGAATGTGAACGACATCAAAACATAACACTTTTGTCTTCATTCTATCTTTTCTTCAATGAGTGTGCATGATTGTGTGTGCTTGTGTCCGAGGGAACGGGGCTTTAACAGTTGTTGAGTTCTAACCATAGGTGGTCCGATTAATGATTTAGTGTAAATATACTTTCTGTGTTCTTTAAATGCATTTCCACTTATAGGTACTGCATAAACAAAATATGACATTAACATTACAAATTTAAAGATTTTAACCTACAGAATAATTCTCACTAATGGGTTTTGTGGTTGATGTTGAACAACTCAGAGAAACAAACTCTGTATGATGGTTAACAGTTGGCACCCACCTTACCCTATTCACAACCTGTGACACCTCTTCATACCTGTCACGTGCATAGCTGACCTACATTGACGAACGTTGACCTTTATGACCCAACACTGTTGCTGTTACAGGTCATTGGCTCCCCTCCCTCTGCAAGCAGTCTGCGTTCTGCTGTTTATTTTGTTGACAGTTACATAGACAGATTCTTTAATACAAATGCATAAAATCGGTGATTTACAATGTGATTAGGTTGTCTGACAAAACATCCACTTGCACAGTTTGAGATTGATTGGGTCATTGGATGAAGAGATATTTACAAAAAAAACGGGTCCACATGCATTTCATGCCAAACTATACCTGTCTCTGAACCACCGCTTAGTTACAGTGCGCCGCTTACTACCAGAGCAGCGCTTGCTGTCCATTCATCACTTTGTACCAATGTGTCGCTTTCACTAAGGGAAGCAGAGACCAGTGCATCATTTCACTTCAGTTCATCGCTCTCGTTCGGTCCAACTCATTAGCCCTGTGCGGGGGCTTTCGATTTGATCACACTTCAGCCCTGTGTACCTTTTCGATTAGATCAACGCTTCAGACCAGTGTTCCGTTTTTGATTGGAACACCTTTCAGTCCAGTACACCATTACTGTATGGTACGACGTTCTAGACAAATGCACCAGTCCCGATTGACTCAGCGCTTTAGATCGTGAATGCGGCCGAACCGGATCACAGTATCGAACCAGATCACCTCTTCGATCCAGATCGTCGAACCAACTTAGATTTCAGAATCGACCCTGATCGCTGCACCATACCAGATCGCCGATCCGACAGTGTTCGCTGAACTGTCAGCATTCACCAAATCATCTGGTTACCTCTATGAGCATACTGTCATCTCTACACACCAATGCTTTCAGTCCAGTGCGACGCTTATCCCAATGCGCCGCTTTCATTCACTTCCTGGTTGTCTACTAGTGGGCCGATCATATTCAGAGTGCCGCTTTACTCCAGTGTGCCGCTCTCTTATGTATCAACACTTCCATCCAGTGCGCCTCTCTCTTATGTATCAACGCTTCCATCCAGTTCGGCACTTCCAGTTTCGGCTGGTTGTATAGCGGTAGTAGTTATGTCAGTAGCGCAGACCTCTACATTACGGCGATGATTGATGATCCTGGATTTTTAAGATTCCTCCGTCATCTACCATCTGATCTTCACCTTTGATGAATGATTCGATTCAACGAATCTACCCTTCGACGTAGATATCAGCTCTACAACCACCCGGTTTGACATATTTGTCCAGAAACTTGACGATGATGTGAAGGAAGGGTGTTGAGGTTGACGAAACAGACCATGATTACACCCAGCGATACACCACATAGCTGCTACGAGTAGTCTGTATACAGTGACAAGACTCAGTGAAGCGTCGTACAATATTCCTGAATATTAAGCTGGTCTATTTATGCACAGTTTTTGCGTGTGGTACCAGCAGTGATGTTTGGTCAAGTACCTAGCGTCACTTTACCCAGATTCTATGGGTTGGGACTCGCCTGGTTAACTTACGTCTGTGTTGTCTGGTTTTTGTCACTATTGCATTGTGGGTAGCATTGGCAATGGCGGACTACTGTTTGTTTACCGGAGACCTTTGATGATACAGTGACTATGAAGTGCCCTGACAGACTTGTCTTGTTTCCACGAAGCGGATGCCTATCCCAGCCTTTAATTGCCAGTGTTGATGAACGGTGCCATTCCTAGTAAGAGTGATTATGCCTGAGAATGCTTTCACTTGGCTAGGGTTACTCGTTTTTTAGCTTAATCCCTCAGTTCAGAGGTCACTGCAGCTATTTTCCGGACTGTCCGCAAGCATCGATTTTACTACCTTCATTTCCTTTACGAACGTTCGTGGGGTCACTGGTCTTTTTACCTCTGCTATTCCATCAACTTTACGAATGTTCCGGTCGTTTGACGATCCCATGCCTCGCATCTACTAACTTTTCACTCCATCTGGTGGACCAACACTTCATTTGGCGAACCATACATTCGTGCGATCACTGATTATACGGCCTGCATCACTATGTGTACAATGTGAACGTTCCTGTAGATTGACTGACAATCTCCATGCCACGATCCTACTACATTCAGCACTTCTTCAGTACTGTCATACTGGCTTGACTAATCGAATGTATCCAATCTCAGGAGGGATTTCTTCTTCATTGGCTGTAGTTGCTAGGCCTTTTGATATCAGAACAAGCCTCAACGTACAGAGGCCATCTCCTACTTAGGCTGATACAGAGATTTCTACGCCCATATCTCGAGGCCGTCAATTGAACCCGGAGGAATTGAGTCGCTTTCCAGAACCGCTTCGTCCAGTCCTTTAGTGGTGGCTCAACGAACTGAATGTCTGCGCTGGAGTTTCTATGGTACCCCTAGCACTTTTGCAAACCCATGGTTCTTTGCCAGTTACAGACAGTTTTCTGTTGACGTCAGCTCAAGTTGTGACTCTGAGGAGATAGCTTCAACTACGGCCTCTCCAATATTTTCTGTGTCCGCACATCAGGATCGGCGACCCTCACACATTGATCTTTCTTTCTCCAGTGTTCCATCCCCATCTCCAGTGGTGTTTGGACGTGTTGAATGTTTGCGGCGAAGTCTCTTAAAGACTGTTTGCTCCAGTACATCACCTGTATGTAGACGCATCTCTACACGGGTGGGGAGCTCACTTTCTCGATCAGCAGGTGGCAGGGTGGTTACAATCAACCAAGCTTTTGATTCGATCAGACTATGCTGCAGTCGTGTGGCACATCAATCGAATGGGATCCACGGGGTCTCCTCAGCTTCTTCAGTAGACACAACAGTTTTTCCACTTAGTAGACTCTCTCAACATCACGGTCCAGGCCAATCACATCCCGGGGATGACCTGAACACGTATGCGTTTCCACCAGTGGCACTACTTCCACGCATACTGCTCAAGTTACACACGGCGCAGCGGTTGACACTGATTTTGGGTCGCACCTTTTTAGCCCGTCAGAAGTTTGTTCCTAGACCTACAAGACTTGGTCAACCCATTCCAGTACCAATTCCCGATCACGACGATCTTCTGGTTCATCTTCACTCTGATCAGCTGTATTGGTCTCCGTTCGCACTTAATCTTCACGCCTGGTGCATTTACATGAATCGCTAACTGCAAAGGGATATTCCAAGCGAGTCGCTACGGCGATTACCACGGCGCACCGAACTTTACCTAGCCACTCTGATGACTATGGGAGAATTTTGAAGCGTACTGCAAGATGATGGGTATTGGACAATCTCCCACTACAGCATTGCCTCAGATAGTCGCGGAGTACCTCCAGCATCCTAGAACTTCCAAGGAATTGAAGGGTTCTACCTTGTCTACATACCTGGCCATGCGTAACACAGTTATTGCGCAGGCTACGGGTGCGAAGGTGTCGACTGTCCCTGAGCTCCAGTCTCTCCTCAGATCTTACAAAGCTGCTGATCAATCCCAGAAGTTCCGGCCACCAGCCTGGGACCTTTCCGTGGTTTTTAATCATCTCATGTCAGAGGAGTATGAACCTCTAGCAGAGAAGGGTTTCAAGAATGTCACGTTTAAGACTTTCTTCCTCCTGGCTCTTGCGACTGCTGCCTGCATCTCCGAGCTTCATGCACTGGATGTCACCCGGGTTGCGCTTCGAGAGGACCAAACATGCCAAAGCCCTCCCTGGTTTGAGGTGGAGTCTTTTAGCTGCCTCAAAGGACCGTCATAGGTTACGCAAGAGACTGTTTATTTCTCTGTCATCTGCCTCATCTACAGAAGTCTCTCGTACCACTGACCTTCTGGATGCGATCTACCATCCTTCATGCCTACGCCTATGTTGACCTTCCCCCTCCTACTATGGCCAACCCTCATGAGACAAGAGCCTTGACCTCTACGGTGGCGCTACATAGAACTGTTCCCTTCACGGCATCATAGAGGGTTGTTTTTTGGAGTTTGGACACAGTCTTCGTCTCACTCTACCTCCGACATCTGTCTGTCACTGACTTGGAAGGTCTTCACCAACTGGGTCCTTTGGTTTTGGTGCAGCAGTTGTCGTCGGCTCACAAATGCAGATAAGATGCAGTTCCTACCTTCGTGTAGGTTTTGCATTCTCTATATCATGAAAGATATCGGCCCTATCTTTCTTATTGGTATGGATTATATTTGGGCATAGACCACCTCACCTAGGGAACTAGGGCATGTTTGCATTGTCATAGATATGACTTGATAGACTGAGAGGCCAGTCTTGTGCTACATGCAGAGGTGGTTGACTCTCCGCTTACTGACCTCTTCGAAGCAGAGACTGTCCAGATTAAGGTCTTCGTCTTTAATTCACTGGGGTCACTTGATAAATCGCAGGGAGGTGGGGTCCACTTGCCAAACTGCGTCCTATTGCTTGTCAAAAGTTGCGGCTGAAAACCACATTAATTCGGGACCGCCCACTCCCTAGAGTTTTTGTGTTGTGTAAGCTAAGGGGTTATCAGAAGCAACCCATCACAGTTACCATATTGGGAGTTGGTGCTTTCTCCTGACCTCCTTGTGTTATGCGACCTCACAGTTGTAGAGTTGACACAGGGTAATCTGCGGCACACCAGCCAACCTGCCCCACATCACATATTACTGGACGCTCCAAGACGAGAATGACAGGCACAGAATGTCACGTGATCATCTGAGCGATCTGCACGCTTATTGAGATGATTGACAGGTCTGCTATCGGAGTGGGGGCAGAGGTCAGGTGGTCAGAGGTCAGGAAGTTTTGATTCAACTTAGCCTACAGCACGTTTCCACGCATGATCGTAGAAGAAGAAGACAGGTGCATACCGTGAGATAGGATGAGTAAATAAATATACAATTTATAGTAAAATTTCCAATTTTAACTTAAGTACACATCAAATGCTTATATGTATTTCTTATGCAAGAATGAAGTTCTGTTCGTATCCTCCAAACAGTGTCGGCCCATAAGTTTTTTCAGTCAATTAACATTGCATATAATACAGCGATTACTACTCCCTTTGCTGTAACCCGTGTTTGGTGGTATAAACCTACACATGTTATTTGTCATCAATCATTTGATGGTCAGTTAATGAATTTATAAAAGGTATCATTAGTAGTAATACCACTCAGATTACCCCGACAAAGGTTCCCATTTCTTGTGTCTGGAGTAAATTCTCAGCATTATGAATTAAGGTCTGATGTGACAAATGTATTACATCTTATGTAATATGCGCATGGAAGTGCTGAGATACAAAAACAAACATCGATCAAAGGATTAACCATTAACACGCTGATTTATTAATTACTTTTATCTTGCACAGCGGATTTGTCAAAAGGTAGTGTTTATGTATGTAGATTTACTAATCTATACTGATTACACCCTGTCGTGAAGTACCTGTGTAAAAACAACATCCTTCCTTCAA